TCACTCACTCATTTCATGACAGAATCTTTTATTGCAGTAGCGTTTTGGTACTCATAGTATTAGTAAAATACATTTTCATTTTGTGGTTTTCTGAACAGCCTTTCAGTGATACCTTTGTATGGAAAGAATTTAATTCTGAACTCTTTATAATTTGAGAGTTATTTATGACAATATCTGGGTGTTGCTTGCAATTGTGAGTGACATAATAGTGGAAGGGAAACATAAGAACATTAATAAAACTCCAGTTTAGACCTGAGAAGTAAAAACTATCACTAGATTGGGATCATCAAAGTTTGCAACATGTGGAAAAGTTAAACTGCAGACTTATTAAAAATTGTAGCTGCAAAATTCCAGTTTTTTGGAATTGTGAAGCCAGTTGTCCTTAATACCAGTTTCTTAATGTTAAATTTTGGTGCCAGGAAATTTTTCTGATAAAACAGGAGTGACATTTTAATAATCTCAGTCTCTAGCAATTGTTCTGTGTCTATACATGACAGATTCTGTTAGCTATACTTGCTTGTCATTATTAATGAAATGTTTAGCTGGTAAAGTGAAGTGATGTTCCTAAAGGTCAGAGTAAGAAATGCCGATCATAATAAGAAATACAAATGATTGTTGCTGGAGTTGTTTCTTTTTGTAGACAAGAATTCTTGAGATAAGAAACAGATAAGGGCTACCAAAATGTCACCAGAGGTGTCTTGTTATTTATTGTCAAGAATTGTTAGTCAAGAATTTATTCCCTCTAAAATGAGAATAGGGGTTTCCAATGCATATCATAAAACTTGTATTCAATGGATTGAGACATGCATTTGGATTTCATGGGCAAGCTGCTTAGATCAGTGAACACTATGCAAAAAGTTGCATGTCAGTTAAGTAGCGTAAACTAGTTAGGAGTGGATGCTCGAATAATAGAAGAATATTGGATGGAATGATGAGATATCCTACACATTGTGGAAATTAATGAATATTTGTAAAATGCCGATTTTCAGGTAAATGCTATGTGCTGGAGTAACTTGTTCAAAGTGAAATTTGGTAAAGGAGGAATTTTCATGGTTCGCCTTAGTCCACTAGTCCTCCCCCCCCCAGAATGCCAGATGTTGAATGCTGTATTCTATGACAATGATTCGTAACAGATCCATCACTCTTTTAGCATGATAAGTTGCTCATTCTTCCTAACTTAGTGATTTGAAGAAATGGAAGTGAATGAATTTGACAACCAGCCCGAAAGTCTAGTTCATGGACTCCCCGTTGAACTCATCATTTGAATTAGCTGGAGTGTTGTGAGTTAGATTAGAAAGTTGTTTATCATATTGCAAGAGAAATTGTGCAAAATATCTGTAGATATTTATAGAAGCTTAGTAGAAAGTTCTTTTTAAATAGTAGAGGCTACGATAGTGATGAATGGTGGATCCATATTTAACATCTTGTTATTAGTGTTCACTTTTTATTGGCAACACAGGAACAGATGTGCCAGACACACTGGGTTGGTGAAAAGTTATCGCCAAAAATTTTTAGTAAGATAACTGTGTTTTTGCAGGCATGCTAGGCTTAAAGTGTGGAGTGTAAACAAAATTGAAAAAGCAGAGCTTATTGATGCCATAAATGGGTAGGACTAAAGTTATGACGTCGCAATGTATTCTTAAATTTTATATTAGTTTAGTTTAGCATTTTCTTTGGAAAATAACAGTAAACATTTGCTTTTTTATTGTAAATTAACATTAAGTTCTTTATTTTAAATTTATGTTTCTAAACATTAAGCTTTGGTTTTACTGAAAGTAAGTATAATAAAATTATTTATTCTAAGTTACTGTGATAGAATAATTCAGTTGCACCATTTATTCAAAGGTTAAACAACATCCCTGTCTTGCATATTTGTATTTTAGATGGCTTCAATATTTTCAAAGATTTTTAAGCTTTGGCATTAATTCAAATAAGAAATTTTTTTAAAAATTAAAATTTGCATCACAGAGCCGTACCATTTTCAGAAATGATTTTATTGCTACATAACTTCATAATCCCGTTTATACTATTAAGTAGACAATATTCATTATTTTATAAAAAATACTGAGAAATAAGTTTATTAATAACAAAGAAAATAATTTTTATGGCAAATGAACATAATATGTAACTTTTATTTTACTGTTTCTCAGAATCCCAAAGGATGATACTTTCTTTGTGCATATTAATATTCCATACATCAATAGTTGACAAATATTTAATTTCTCTTTAATAAAACCATAAATCTGAAATAATACACAATCTTTTAAATAGAAAATGCAATAATAATAAGTTTGATATAAAATGAAATTTGTGATTACAATAGCAAATACTATGTATTAAAATAATGATGCAAAAGTTACCTATCAAATGCAAGTTTGCAATTTTTGCGACTCTACCGTTGCAAAAATGTTTGTCAAACAATCGATTCAAGGCAAGTTCGTCAAGCTATCGATATTTATCCTAAGTGGGAAACATTATCAACATACCAAAAGAAGACAAAGAAGAATCCAATTTAAAAATAGTAGGCTAGGTAAATTGCCAATTGAAAATTTTTTGACATACCTGCACTTATCCATCTAAAATATTCTTTTTCTTTTTTCTAATTTCATTTTGGATTCACATTTCTCACATGTTAAGTTTCTTCGAACCGTTTGACAAACTTCAGTATTCCAGAACACTATATGGGCCATTTTTCATCTTCAGTCCTTTCACCAGGCAAAATTTTTGCAATGCAACAGTTGCTGACTTTCCATTCAAATAGAACAACTTCACCAACAACACTCACTCAGGTAATGATAACCTTCTGAAATGAGAAATCCTCATGTATTGTGGTCTTTTATTGCAAGATTAATCTGCATAATTCTGCTGAATCTCTCGCATGCCAGCACCCTCTACTGGTGACATTTTTAACTAAACATTTTTGTGCTGCTAAAAAAAATCTGACTTCCTTGTGAGCCCTTTCTTGCAAATAACATTTCTTTATCATAATTTCTCTCTTTTTTTATGAATTTTTAAAGTTTTAACAGACTTTTGACTTGCCCTGTATATTCATCTAATTACAAAACTGAAATAGGCTACTTTCTGAGTAGCTGCATATTAAATATTCATTATCCTCATATGGTTAGTGTGACTGTAATCGATAACATAGGTTTGAACTAAACCTGTGTTATTGTGAACCCTGCAGTAAATATTTTTTGAATAGCTTTGATAATGACCTGTTCATTATAAATGATTAGTAGATTGAAAAAGTATATGAGGAATCAGATATTTAAGGCATGAAAAAGCAATACATGTCTTCAGCATGTTTATTGGCTGTTGATAATATGCTTTCCTAGCACAACTGCTGCAGTGTAAGCAGAAAAGCTGCTCCTGCTATTTGCTCTATATTTTTAAGAATTTTAAATGCAGAAATGTTTTGCTTCTAAGGAAGGGGGATCTAAGTCTGATGACTCTCAGATTTTGCACAAGTCACTCTCCTCTTCTCAAATTTAAGTTCCATATTTTTTCCTAGTTAGAAAATAAACCTGTCATATTTACTAAAATTGAATATCTTAATAAGTGAACTTGTGGAATGAGAGAAAGGTTGATTTTTATACTAGATAGAATATATATATAATAATTAAACTGTTTAAATATTAAATAAACCATAGATTTAAAGTAGCATATATAAACTGTATAACTATTGCTAATTATGATAAGTCACATTCTAGTTGAGTGATTTTAGTTTAGGGCTGCATAACTGGTATCATCGGTAACTGCATCGGTAACTGGTATGATTGAAAACAAGTATGTAATAATACATTATTAGTTTTTCTTAACTTTTCTTTCTATACCATAATAAACTATTATATTGTATATTAATTAGCTTCCCTTTCTTTCTAATCAAAAGCAAATGAATTCTTATCAGCGTCATACTCTCATTAAATATTCACCTACATTTTTTTTTTTCATTTCTTAAAATTTATCCAAAAACATAAGAAAGGTCTTATATTCAAGGGGATGAGGCATCTTATTTTGGAATAAGTATGATACTTTAACGTAAGCAAGTGATTCAGTTTTCGATTGTTTTAGCAAATATGCTTTTTTAATTGCATTTTTTTGGGTGGAGATGTTTCTTGAAAAACAACTGTTTTATAGACTGTTGTGTCTTTTCTAGTTCTTAAAATGGTTATTTATAAGATGCCCATTTAATATTTGTCTCTCTGATATATCTTTTAATTCTAGCTGCAAAGTATGACAATTGGCATAATTTCCTTCATTTTAAAATTATAATTGTGTATCTAAATTTGTTGGTTTTACAGCATTTCTTTTGTAATATATGAAGATTTTGTAATTAAAATTTGTTAATATTACTGCAATTTCTCTGATATAAGAAAAAATAAGAGGCATTCAGGTGTTTCTTTCCTTTCATTTTCTTTCTTCCCCCCATCTGTTTTTAAAATTTCATTAACAAATAAAATTAGAGAGGTTTACATATGTAAAATTTAAAAAATTATTTTTCTCCCCTCTTTTTTTTAAATTTTACATTTATTTTCTTACTTTTTTTAGCAATTTTAAAATTATGATGTAATACACTTTTAATTTTTTTTTTTAAATTAGAGAAAAAATAATCTGTATATATCTGAGTGCTTTTTTTTAACAAATATGAAGACATTTCTCAATTTTAAATCTGCTAAAAACAGTCCCTCTTCCTCTTTTATTTTTGTATGTAGTTTTTTTTTTTTTTTTTTTAAAGTTTAAAGAAATTGGTTAAAAGAGCAACAAAATAAATTTATTTGAGTTATATGTGTCTCATTCTGATAAGGGGGACAAAAAAAAAAAAAAAAAAAAAAAAAAAAAAATCTGAGAAGAAACAGCTTTGTTTTTCTTTTCCAAATTGTGGAAAGGGAAATGTTAAAGCTGCTGTGTTTTTGATGGTTTCCTTTTTTTTTAAAAATAGCGTCTGCTATATTTATACCTTATCCTGAGTGTTCTGTTAAGTGCTTCTTTTCAGTGTAAGGTAACATTCTCTCCACTGGTAGTGCAGTTAGTTGTTTAGTGCTTATGTAGTGTTTTTGAGTAGGGCTTATTTTGTAATTCTCCTTAATTGCTGTATTTTTAAGAGTGCATTTAGATAAGTTTTTAATGCTTTGTTTTTGCAGTTGGAGTTCAATAATCAAGTAAATTATTATTAAGTTATAGATTAGAATATGTAAAAAGTATTCATTGTGGTAATGGTTTTGAAAATGAGGCAAGTTATTTTAAAATTAAATACATTTGTTATATTCTAGAATGTGTAGTTTAAATTGGCATTATATAAATATAATTTTGTGTATAGTAAAAATGTGTAGCTTTTAAGTCTGGTATGTTCAATTGTTAAACACTTCATTTTTAAGGTTAAGATTTTTATTCATAAGAATAATGTTAAGTTTTACAAACATATGAAATTTGAAATGATATTATGAGTATTTTATATATATGTAATCATTTAACTGTCATGCTTAGTTTAGCTTTAATATAACTTCATTCCCTCATTTTAATTTTTTCATCTATATTCATTTCGACTAAAGCAATAAACTGTTATATGTTTATAACAGTTTATTGCTATATCTAAAGCAATAAACTGTTATATGTTGGTTATCTAGAATTATGCACTATCAAATATCTAAGGTTGGTTAATTTTTCTACATGTGCATATACCTTCTTTTATTTCTTAGCTATTTAAGCGTAGGCTTTTAGAGTGCATGTGTTGTATTTAAGAATGAGAGAGAAAGAACAGAGTAAAGAAAAAGGGGGGTGGGGTTAGCAGTTTTGAAATCTTTATTGTGTAAACGCATTGAAATTATTTACTCTTATTTTATAGTATCATTTTATTTTTATGTGTATAAAATAATTTTTCGAAAATTATAATGTTCATTTTTAGTTCATTTCTTTTGCTATAAAGTCTTTAATCCGGACTTGTCGGGACTTTGGCGATTCCTGATTAGGAGTTTTTCCGGATTATAGATCATCAATTTAAATCTGGTAAGATGGCATGCAGAAATTATAAAATTAAAAATATGAAACCGTAATTTATAAAATAATGAGCAATCATGATCTAAAGGATATCAAAATTTACAAAAAAAAAAAGAAGCTTAATATTTATTTGTTTACTTTATTAAACATTTCTTTCAATGTAAGTTGTTTAAGTTGCTTCATTTTTTATGTGATAATACATTCTCTTTAATTCTGTAAAGAGACATAATTTCTTGTTCAGTTCCACGGTTCAAGTCCTCTAATTGCTGTGTCGAGAATACCGACTAACTTGTCAATCAAAATTTTTTCGTTTTCAATAACCTCTCTGTCACTTTCTTCACTATCAGAAGTGGTACATCGAAACATGCTTTCTCTTGTAGATTCTTTGGCAGCTCCAGAATCGGTAACTCTTTTTGACATAATCGAAAATTCAAGCTTACTTTTTATAAAATTGCTCTAACAGTCTGCAAAAAATAATAAGCCAGATCAAATTAGAAGGTTAAGGAACAATGCAATCTGCAACATTAACTGAAATAGCTAATTAGATAATTTTTTAACTGAAATAGCTAATTAGATAATTTTAGCCTAGTTTATACCATCTGTTATACATTAAACGCACATGTGTAAACATATTATGTGCATGCATAAAGGTATTATGCGCTATGCGTTTACACATGTGCAGAATGTTTGTAGCTTTGAGGTCCTAATTATAGATCATTCCGGATTATGGACGTCTGGATTAAAGACTTTGTACTGTATTAGATGATATTGTAGTTAGTAGATACGGCTTGCCTGTTTTGATTTTATTTCATTTTGTGTTCTTTTTTAGTATCAAATTAATGAATTATTTATATTGATTTGCATTTTCTTTTTAACTTTGTTATAAAAATTGATTGTTAATAAAATAATATGTTCATATCATGTGAAAATATAATTTTTAGGAATATTTTTACAGGTTCATTTTTATAACTCTCCCATATTGTAATAGATGCACCCATATTCTAAACTTCTGAGCAAAAACCCATCTTTGCTTTTGATTTAATTTGGCATGTCATCTGTATTTCAGAAAATGATACCATTTAAATCTCCTATATATTTTAAAAGAAACCTTTTTCCATGATCCATGTGTCACTGATATTGCAATGCAATACTGAGTGCACAGCTTCATGGATATTAATTAATGTGACCGTAATTCCACATTTAGTGTGAAATTCCTGAGTTACAATTTGTGCATTACAGTTGTTACTTGCTTTGGGGGGGGTTCTGTTATGTAGTAATTTGGATTAATTTTATTTGGTTTAATCATAGTATGGTATGGGTGGCCCTATACCTCCACCATAGAAAGTTAAATGCATGTATAAGAAGAAGAAATTTATGTATGGATTTATCTTGTTAAAAGTAGCCATCGTAAAGAATATTGCTTACTTTAAAAGTATTCTATTAGAATTAGATGTTTGGCATTCTTGTGTTAGCTACTGAATTGCAGAATTAATAGGAAAATCTATTAATCATGTAGCATTCTGTTGAACATTGTCAATGCTGTGGTTCGAAAAACAAACATTTATTACAGAGTAATATGCAGAGGTACACACAGAGAAATACATGCAGTGATACAAGCAGAGAGTGAAAAAGTTTAGAGAGGTTATATATATAATTTTACAACAGATCATGATTTAACAAATCATAAACAGGGCACATAAAACAGCCAATCAAAAATAACATACAGAAATATAAACAAATAAAATGGGATTAAGTTTCATAATACATCGGACCTGACAAAAAGCCATACTTCCTTTTAACCAATAAGAATGCGATTACAAATATCTCAACACATTCTTACTAGTGTTTAGTAAGACTGACGTTGAAATTGGTTACTGTAATTGTGTCTTACTGAATTGTTACTGAAATTGTGTGATAGGAAGAATAAAAAAAACCCGTTCACACTAGAGGGGGATAGGGAACACTTGAAAATGTAAAAAACATAAACCAAGAGCACTTATTCAAGGAAGAATTTTATCTGGTTAATCTAAGCTGAAGAGATGGATCTACCAAGCTCAAGTATATGAAACATGAAGTTTAGCAGATCACAGGCATAAAAACTTATCACTATATATTCAATCTCAATATATATCAGTATACTGAATAAAGAAGTTTTAAATCAGATTTCAACAATCGGCATATGTGTTTGAAACATAGCTTGGTATCTAATCATCATTTATATATTTTTACTTCATAATTTAGAGTATTATTTTATGTTTCTAGAGCAAAATGCTGTACAATTAACTTTTCAATTCACAGATATTTTTTTTTGCAAAATTAAAGTTAAAGTTTATTAAAAAGTATAATTGTAATTTTAAGTAAAGTGAAGGGCTGTTCAGAATATTGATTTCTCTTACATTGTAGTACCAGGCACAGTTATCATTAATTTGCTCATCTTCCATTTGTTATATCAAAGGTAGTTTTTATGATGCACTATTTCTTGTTGTTTGTTTATTTTTTTAGCATAAGTATATAATTGATCACGATTTATTTATTTGTATCCCCCTTTATATTTAACTTGAATTATTTTTTTATTAGTAGTTATGTTATTAATTTTTTTCTAACAGACTCCAACAGTTAATTAATTCCTGCCCATAGTAATATCAGTTGTGAGAACATATTCTTGGTCTCTGATATGGATAAAAAATGTAGTGTGATGCAGGCAGAATCATTTTCAAAAAATGTATGAGTGCAGAAATATGCATGTGACTTTTTAGTTATACCTTGTGATCCAAAATATTTTATTCTTTTGAACATGACTACAATTGAATTAAATTGCCAGAAAAAGTAATGATTGTGTGGTAGTCAGATATTTTTATCCTTTTATTAACATGAAAATTAAAAATAGATTTTTGTGGAACGAGCTGGTAAGATTGATGGTAATCATGCTATAATTGATAGTAATTAGAACCAATATATTGATACCTGTATAATCTACATTAGTATTTAATTTTTTTGTGATACATTAGGTGTAGACAGAGAGATGGTACTTGTGAAAATTTATGGACACTTTTCAAAATCTTTGAAAAGAAGAGAGGAATTAGTCATTTTCTAATTTTGTTAACACTGAGGAGTGAAGTTCTAAAGCATGTCCTTACTAGGTGACTGTTCTTCGAAGTAGCTCTTGATGAGCTGTTGAAGAACATGGGGCCAATAACAAGCTATTTTTAAAAATAAATGAAACACTTTATACTTTTAAAATAATGTTTCAATCATGATGCCGCGAGTAAAAGGGTGATGGAGGCTGTATATTTTGCAAAATATACTTTTCTTGCACCCCTTTTTAACTAATTTTATGAACTGAGAAATACTTGAATTATATAAAAAATAAAATACTGGAACTGCGGGAAATCGAGTGAGAAAAATTATGCAAATAATTTTTTTTCTGAAGGATGCAGTTACAATATGAGCATAATAAATAAAAAGCAGTCTTGGGTAAACAATAGGTGACTATCATAATATTATTTCTTTAAAAGAAACTTATATTCCAATAAGAATACATAGTAATATTAATATTACAATTTCTAATAAGATATCTTCATTTCTACTTCCCTGTAACTTGAATCTCACAATTTCATGTTACCCCTGCTAGTCCTTTGACCTTAAATCATTGATCAATAGTTAGAAGATGATTCTGCATCAGATTCAGTGAAACCATAGACTGAATGTCAGTTTGTGTTTGCTTCTCTGTGACTGGTTGGCTCTAGCATTAGGCTGGCATAAAGTTCAACGCTTAGAAGGAAAAGGTTTGACATGACCTTCGCAGATAGTTTATGAAGGTTTGTGTTTGGTAGTAAGATGAAAACAATTGCTGTGTCAAGGGATCCTTTTTAAAATTTAATGGAGCTTGTTCTCTGAATGCATTAAGAAAGAAGAAAATTTAACACAAATATTTTTAAAATTTTCAAAATCTTGCACTAAAAAGCTGGGAGGAATACATGAGGAAATGTTTTATATAGATATATGTGTTTGTGTAATGTGCAATATGTATATATATATATATATGTAAGATAAAAAATATGTGAAATATGTAAGATAAAAAAATATGTGAATCAAAATTATAATTTAAACTAACAGTAAAACATTAATTCTCCCTCTATATTCTAAAAATTGCAATAACTTCTCT